CAATTAAATCTCTTCCAATAATTTATTTGTGACAGAAGGAGCGGGATGTATTTTAAACATGTTACTTCTGGCTTTTTTACGGAGAAGTTGGTTACAGTCGTAGGAGTAAAATTTTTCTACAGGAGGGAATACGCCTAGGCCAAATATGAGCTTTTACCTTGGTTTTTTGAAAGCTGAGATACACACGCAAAAAGTATCGTCCTCATCTGTCGCACAGTCTCTCTCTCATCAATTGGGCATGGGTTTCCATTTGCTCGTGCACAGGGATGGCCAATTCGATTAAAGTATTCGAATATCTCGTCATAAGAATATCGGAATTAGCGTTCATAAGAATATCAAATATTTGCACACATTTTCGACGCCGCTTCCAAGACGTTTCCGTTGAATGGAAACATTCTCGATAGAAACTTGCGCGTGATTGTTTTCATCACTCATCAGCGTAACGTGTTATTTAGGCCGTAAACGCCTTTACGTTTGTGTTATTTTCTATAAAACGAAAATTTTCCACAAATTTGTTCCACGATAACGATTATTTTATTTTTGTACGCGCACGGAATTGTGAATCTGGTAAATACGTTCATCGGCGGCGAGTTTCTAAAGACAACGCAACTTTTTGATTGAAAAGCGGCAATTTAAAATACTGAAAATAAAACCGCAAACAATATAAGTTTTATTGAGGGCCGCGAAAATTTATAAAACGCTTTTCTAGGCAGTGAAAATCGCAAAATTTCGTTTGTTTGGTCGGACGTTTAGAAACATATCGTCACGAACTGAGGGCGGGATTTGCCAGATTATTCATTACTTTAAATTGATGTCGAATATTTTCGTGTTAACATTATACAAGGTTTGAAACGCGACTTTTTCCCGGGTCGTGAGTATATTCAATCAATTTTATTGTGATGAAATAAATTTTACTCTGAGATGTTACAGCAGATTTATGGATTTTTCGAACAGTTTTATCTAAAAATAATCAGAGTGTCAGCAATTCGATTGAGCGGAGTCACTGTTAACAAGTAGGCCTACATCTAAATATTTGCCGAATTCGCAAAATACGGATCTGAACATTATTTAATCGGGCAGTTTACCACACGTTTTTATTCTTATGATCGCGGATTGCAAGGGTGAGGATTTTATTTTGTCGACGCAACCGCAGGTTAAATTGAAGACAATTAAATTAATAAAGCAAGACATTTTAAATATGCCCGTATCGGTCACAAATTCATCACTTTTCTCAACAGAAAAATATATATTCGTTGTTATATCATTTGTTGTAAAAGTCGACTCTTTTAACAGGTGGCATAATCGCGGCGATGAATATGTAGTTTTAATTTACTGCTAAACTTTATATTTATATTCATTGTATGAAATAAATTATACACTACACTTAACAGGATTTTATATCATTATTTGAGATTTTTCTAACGGCGATACCGAGTTGGCAAGATTGCAAAAATACGTATTAAAATTAAATATATCAGGCGGTTTATCTCGTACTGTTAGGTCACAGATCGCTAAGGACCGAATAATAATGTTTTTTTTGACGTAAGAAGGAGCAACCGCGAGTTACGTTGGACACATTAAATTAATATATAAAGATATTTTAGAATCTCGTAGTTGTCATGGATTGAATATTTTATGTAACAGAATAATCATTATACGCTGAAAAGACGGCTCTTTTAACGAGCGCGGAATCGTGCGGGTGTTACAGGCGGCAATGGGAATTTCCGATTTCGAAAATCCTGGCTGCGCGCCTGGCAGTGGTGGTCATCTATTCTCTATTAATTTATTTCTAATTTCAAACACAACAATATGTTACACATATTAACAATATGGTTCACATAAATTAATATACAAATATACTGGTAGGTAGTAGAGTACTCTAAGCTTAAATATTAGAATTTTAAAAGGCATAATGGATTTTCAATTGTTGTTGCTTGTTTCAGTTGCCTGTATTGCCAATAAATTTGATTACTCACAGAAAATATACACAATTACCTGAATACAAGTAGTATTTTTGTCAATAGACTTGACTATTATCGTAATATCATGGTACCAATGATAGCAAGCGTCAGACAACTCCTTGGCTATATTTTCATATGGTCATTTGTACAAAGTGAATAATTTTAATAAACTGACTGTGTCACAAGTTGCTATTATTTTTTATCGATAGCTATAAACTATTGGTTTGGAACTATGGAAATATTTAACCAATTATTCATTAGGGCGCATGGACCAGTTGATTGAGATGACAACTTCATTGATTATCCTCTGCAGTCAAACTCTGGGCCAGGTTCACTGCTGGCTATCAGTAGGAGCTATACAAAATATACATACGAAATATGCAAGTATATTGAAAATTAAAAAAATATAAGACTGAACTAAACAAGAAGACATACCTGGCTCTGGTTTGCTTGGAAGCATTGCATCCCTTGGTTTATCAATTTCTGAAATAATAAAAAACATAACATACACCAGTACACAGGTAATAGGGAACTGACAAAATGCATCAATTCAAAACATCAAAGAAAAATAGTTACCTAGTGATACAGCATCTGTGATTCCAATATCCACTCTCATATTAATATAACTAACATCTGGGTGGTGGCCAAACATTTCATAAAGCTCATCATAATAATCACATGTTATGTGAGCCGTCCCATCAACAGAATGCAGACGTATTGTCTTGTTGAAAGTAGACCATAGGGCCTACACTTTATAATGTATTTGTTGGAAACTACAAAGGTAAAAACATCTAGCTTTAGTAACCAGCCAACTGAAAACATACTGCTAGTCAAGAATTCAACATAGTTCGTGTTTGATAACATTTCAACGAGAATCAGTTGCAATTTTCTAAAAATTGAGGAGAGATAACTATTCAGAAAACTACTAAAATTTATTAATTAAAAAGCTGAAACGGTATCACATAACGATTGTACTCCCAAACCTTTTTTGTATCCCTTAGCTGTCAACTGTTTCTCAACTTCTTTGTACAAAACTTCTGATCTAGACTCCTCTTGGTCAAGCAGAGCAACCAGACTCATTTCTCGAACAATACCAAGCATTGTTTTAACCTCGTTGTCCTCCCACTTAGCTTTAGGATTTGACATAAACTCCATTTCACTCACAAACATAAAATGCACTACTACTTTTCTGCGATAACTTATGTTTAAATATAAATCAAATAACAGTTTGCTATGAATGCAATTCATTATGTCAAGAAATTAAATTTTCGAAATCAAAAACGATAATCGATTTAACTGATACAGTACCGGTACCGTATTTTTGGTGTATGAATATAACATGCCCAACGTTTTGACGTTTGCTTTGCTAGACTAGAGTGGGTTTGAAAAGCTCTAAACAGGCTCAGCCATAGGCCTATTCTTGTCCACTATTTCTTGACTCGTATCAGTGCTGTACCGATACTTGTGTTTAACATCCTACTATCTGACTGTATAGTTTGCCTTAATACATAATCCGGGGAACTTGCACACTTACATATTATTCAGTCATTTATGGCACTAGAATTCCGCGACTTCACTTAATATTTCATATTCAGACCAGTTACCGGTACCGTCAGACCGTAATGCATTGTGCATGACAAGCTGTTGATGGGTCTGAAAGAAGTTTAACATATTCCGCAAGTAAAGAATTCCATCTACAACTTATATTTACTTCAAACAGCTCAAACTCGCTTGCAATTGCAACACTGTCACCCTGAAAGCATTACCACACTAGGTTCACAGAAACGCAGAACAAGCGATCTAGAAAACGCCGAAGTGAAACCATCAACGCGTCCCTGTTCGCGCGTGCGAGGAAAGCATCGTGCCTACTAATCTACCCTGTGCAATCGTGCTGGAATATCACGATGCAAATACGCTGAGTCATGATTGGCGGTCGAACCAACGTGTTTACATGAACACGATTCTCTCAAAATACGGTTTTGGCACGATAATCGTTGCCATGTAAACGCACTAAATATTCCAGAATAGGCATGTTCCCATAATATTCATGTTCCAATTATATTCATCATATTTTTAAGTATTCTACAATACTATTTTCTCCTAGTATCTCTATATAACTTAAATAGGACTTTTCCTTCTTTTCGTCTAATTGATATATGTGTAGTCCCACTTTAGCTGTAGGGAATTCCCCACGCTGCTATCATTGTTTTGATTCGTAGTGTTAGTCAGCAATTTTCTTAGTTGTAATTGTGCTCACTGAAGCTCGAAGAATCATGATAGTGCTCAAAGTTGACATATTTTGTCTCACTCTTTTCTCATATAATCTCCCATTTTTTCATAAATTTTTGTTCTCAATTTGTGTTTTATTTATTCATGCTAATACACTTTCCTAATAGTATGACGTCATCTGCTATGGGGAAAATGGTGTCGCTGAATATCCGAATCAATAACTTCATTATTAGGATTGCGCTCACCCGAGCATGACGCTACGAGATAAAATTGACATATTTAATCATCGTAAATGCGTCTTTCATGATTTACTCGACAAGATGAATATTTAAACATTTCTCTCCAGACTCTCTTGAGTCCATTCATATTTTTTATTTAAACCTTTCTCTCTTTTACCTACTCTGTCGATTTGATTTACATTCCCAAATGCTTTTCTGAACGTATTTAAATCTAGTTAATTATTTGACGTCATCTGCTGCTGAACTCAGCATTTATGGTGTCGCTGACACGATGACTTGATAGTCTTTCGCAGTCGAAACATTGTGTGTCTGTTTTATTTTTATTTTGACTTGATTTAATCGTGTTTTTGGAATAAATTGTGAATAAATATGTTTTGCAATATTACTAGAAAACAAAATGAGATTATTAAATTACACCAAATACAAAGAATTATAACTGTTGTTTTTCTAGCTGGTAAAAAACTCCTAGGTTAGGAAACAGTAGTCTAATCTATTGCGCAGTCAAGTTTAAACAAAATTGGCTCAGAACTGGTTGGGAAACGCTGTTCTAATCTTTTTATTTTCAGAAACCAGCATTACCGGGGCTGCTGTTCAAGATATGAGCATAGAAAGTGCGAAAGATGTTTCGGTGATCTCTGAACATACAGAAATAGCGCCGCAAGAGATGTTTCGTATGTAATTTTGTTTTCAATTTAACATAATTACCTCTAATGTAAAAAAGTGGGTGACTGACTTAATAAACTTGCTTTATCAATTAATGTGTGCAATCAAGTATATAATCCAGATCATCGGAACTAATTTCTCTACTTCTATCCAAACTCACATCGCACATATCCCACATGTTGTTCGCAGCTGGCTGGTCATGGCTTGTCCAAACGTAACTGATGCCATCACACAAAGATGTTCAGTTATCTGGTGATATATTCTCAGTTGCCAAATATATAATTTAACACTTGACAATACGCAGGTCATTGTGTATGGAATGGATACACAATGTGAAACATACTTACTATAATATTTGTGAGATTCAAAGAGGGAACATTAAAAATAAAACTTATTTTTAGGAACCAGTATAACTGATGCTACTATTGGGGAAATGATGACAAGGAATGTGTTTATGATTGGTGTTGGGAACGTGTATCACGGTATGTCAGATTTTTTGAATAGTTTGTTCTTGAAACTGCCATTTGATATGTTCAAACCATTACGTGTAGTTGACAACACCGGCGGACACCTTCCATATTTTTGAGGCGAACTTGGATCGTTCACCAAGAAATACAGTGCCATGTTGATATATTGTTATGTCACAATAACATTTCGATTTTTTCATCTAAAATTTTAGAATGTCATTTTACTATTCAAATTTCCGGTACCGTGGGGAACAGGTACCCACGTCGCTTTGCTTGGAAACCTTATTGCGCGTCCCTAAATTGACCTCTCGAATTCCGGTGTAATTTGCCCACGACTCCCGCTAACATGCAGCAACAGCAAATTTTGAGAGTCATATTTTCTTGTCATTTAAACTGTGCGCGGCGGTGTGTCTCATCATGCTAAGCGTTATCATCATGCTCGCCACCACAAATCTGATCACTCTGCGTGGGTTCGCAGGTTCGAATCCCATGCGGGGATAATTATTTGCGAGAGAATTGCTGGACTCCTCGACGCCATAGGGCGGTTCGCGTAACTTCTGGTCAGTTACGGCTCCATCCACCATCAAGTCCATGCTTCCGAAAACAAATACCTAACCAACAAATCCCATACTCGGCATGGAATGGTAACTGGACGAGAGGCCGTGGTCAACCATATGGTTAAGTCGTCTTATCGGCTTTCCTCTCCCACCAGGATAAATATATAAATTCTATTGATTCCTAATTTTACATCAAGTGTGCCGACGCTGTTTCATTAATTCAGAAATGTCAAACAAGATATTTTCAGTCACCTTGATCCACTGTGAACACCCCCTCACTTTCAGTATTTAGTTACAATTTTTACTCGGCCTAACCCACTGTGAACACCCCTAATTTTAGGTATTTAGTTAAATATTTACTTACCCTAACCTACTGTGAACTAGGGATGGGTCGGGATTTGGATCCGGACTCGGATTCGAATCGAATCCAGGCATTTTTTTGACTCGGATTCGATTTCGAGTCCAAGTCGTGTTTACCGAGTCTATAATCAATTCTGTTTTTACTAATTTACGCCTATGTTTGTACTTTGACCCCTATAAATCTCACTACATACCTTAACTAATTGAAATTGAAGGTTAGATATGTGACAATATCACTCGTGTGTATTATAAACACTCCTAATAAAACGACGACAGATATCCAGATAATAAAACGCAAGTTAAAAACTATTGATAGCTTATAACATTGATGCGCCAGTCGCCTTAAAACTATCTATTCTTTTTGGCATACATGTGGTACACAATAAAATATGTGTTAGCGCAATATTACTGAGTTTTCGATTCGCGTAAATAAATATGAAACATGCGCAGGATCAACCCAAGGGGAAATCTCATCAATACCTCTTTTAATCGAGTTTATTACGTGCAATCCTTTCTCTAAAAAGGGAGCAATGAAAAGCATAGGGGGTTCAGAACGTTTACATGAACTACTAAATTGCAAGCATTGTATTGACGACGAGTGGCATCTCTCTACCATTTGCGCACGCGACATAGTAAATTTAAGACTAGAAATATCTGGAATTATGGGAAAGCATTGTAGTCAAAAGCTTTTTATTCTCATATTGACATGTAAGAATTTCTAAATAGCCGCCCAGAATCTACGCAAGGTGGTGGGCTGGAAATCCAGTCCACAGCCAAGGCGCACTTGACCCACGTTCACGTTTGTATTATGGCCGCCAAAAAAGAAGTAAAATATATTTTTAAATTGATTCAACAGCTATCTGCGGAACCATTAGGCAAAAAATATGAGCTACGACGTATGTTTGTGAGTGCGCGATGCTGTAGTATGGTCATAAACGTGTTTTTCTACTTTTACATTATGACATCACGGACTCGGAGGATTCGATTCGAGTCCCTGACCTATTACTCGGATTCGTCGAATCTCTGTAATGCCGGACTCGTCCCATCCCTACTGTGAACACCCCATCACTTTCAATATTTAGTTAAATTTTTACTCACCCTAACCTACAGTGAACACCTCTTCACTTTTAGTATTTAGTTAAATTTTTACTCATCCTAACCTACTGTGAACACCCCCTCACTTTCAATATTTAGTTAAATTTTTACTCACCCTAACCTACTGTGAACACCCCCTCACTTTCAGTATTTAGTCAAGTTTTCACTCACCCCAACCTACTGTGAACACCCCCTCACTCTGAGTAATTATTTAAATTTTCACTCACTCTTGCCTACTGTGAACACTACCTCACTTTCAATATTTAGTTATTGTAATAAAAACCAAGTGTTTTAGTAGTGACGTTTATTGAACATAAAACCAGCTGCTATCTGAAGTCAATTTTATGAAGATGATTAGCACTTGTTTTTGCATGTAATCGAAGCGTGAATTTTGCTTGTATAATTTTGATAGGTTTGAGTTGTGTGCTAACACATCGAAGTCAACTCTGTGAAAATGTTTAGCTCTTGTTTTAGCACGTGATCACTAGTCAGAGCAGAGTTTTCCAAACTTTTGGGGCTGCGTACCCCTATTTGTGAATCTTAGTTTTGCCGGACCCTCATCGTGTGCCGTATCAGTTTCTGTGCCTAACCAACGATTGAGGATAATAAATCTGACAGAAATGTAATTTTGTCCGAAACGCTCAACCAAAGAAACGAAATGCTTTTTAATTGAAATCAATCATTAAAAGTCGACCACATCTTCGCGGACCCCCTGTACAGTCATCACGGACCCTCAGGGGTCCGCGGACCCCAGTTTGGGAAACCCTGAATTAGAGTAATCGAAGCATGAATTTTGCTTGTATAATAGGAGTCGCTCAAAGTCGTGTGCTAACTCATCGTGATACCGCTAGGCTAGCTAAATCTGCGATATCAAGTACTTTAAATATTGTAAATACGTCTGCCTTTAAATCCTTTTCCAAAATAACATCTTAAAAAATTTTGTATTAATTTGTGATCGGCTCCTTATATATCGTTGTAAACTGCAACGTATGCTTCCAATGTTTGGTATCTTTGTTAACTTTATCCAAAGTGTAAAAGCAAGTGTGAAAGCGGTTATGTAATTGACCGGGGCAAATTAGCTTTACAAAATAAAAAGTGGAATATTATATCATAGTTGAAATTTCATTTGGTCAGCTTATCTTGGATTTTGTTTCATGAAATCAATATGAGAAAAATAAATATTAGTTGAGCAGTGTATGATAGGAGAGAATACTATCTTTCAAATCAGTATTCCGTTCATTACTGGAATGAAAATAATTTTGTCAGCTATTCCATGCATAAATTGTTTACAATAAAAAATTGAATACACAACACGAATTGAACTTAGGAACAAACCCTAGACTCATTTCTCTCTTTTGTATCAAAGCGGAGAACTCGCTTCATTGATTCTTAGCAGATTATTTTATTTCCGAAACAAGTGACATTGACTTATCGTCATTTGGAAGAATGGGTGAGACTCTCTTGTTTTCGGCCAATAATCTGAAATTTCAACATGTTTAGTATTTATATATACGGCATTCTCATACATAACTGGATCCATTCTGTTTGAATCTGTACAGTTATTATATTTCCCTAATAATTAGTGCTTAATCCATCTGAAGAATAGATCCGGGTAACTTCATATCATACCTGCAATAGGTGTCGCTGATTGAAACTTAGGAGCTCCCTCCCAAATTCCGCCATACAATTTACGTTGAAAATACATTTATTAACAACATATCCACAAATCCTGCACATACAAATCATAATAAAACGAAGTACATTTGAAGGTTTGAGGTTTAAGGTTTATGCTGTATTCGTGATATTAAATATAATGACTATCCTCTCTTCATATTTCCTAATATTCTCATCATTCATGCTGTCTAGCTACAAAATTCACCAAGAATAACGGCCTGAAAATCTATTCTTTGCATTGATTCATATCTCACATATTCAGTACTCAATCTTATAGACATGCGTGTAATTTTCCAAAAGTTCACCCAAGTAATTCCACAATTCCTGGTTCACGCTCGTTGCCCTATAAAATTTTTAATTTTTAAATTCATTCATGTTCTATAACTTGCTTTACGTTATATTAGTTTGTTTCCAAGTCCAGTATCGTTAGAGCTAGTTCATTAATCAACCTGGTATTCATTCATGACAAATGAATAAATAAATCTTGTCAAAGAGTATTTGAACATGCTTGAATTACCAATGCTTAATTACCAATGCTTAACCAATGCATATTAAAATATGCTTTAATTTATATTTAACTGAAGATTTGATAAATACTAAATATTATTTATTGATGCCACTATATTTTTTCAGATAGATATTCTCAGCATGATCGAGGTAAGTGATTACATATTTTTAACATATGAACTATAAACTACTTCTTAGACCGCCTACATTGCTCGATAGCAAATCATTGTACAAACGGGTTCGGTATGAACAATGTACAAGCAGTCAGTTAATAATGTCGTAACGCTGATATCTGATGACATAAAAAAAGAAAGTATACATTTTTTACCTTAATTGTTTTGAAAATCATTAAAAAAAATAGGTGTCGTTGTTTGAAAGTTAGAGATCACCTTCCCAACTCCTACCGCACAATTTTTAAGTTTACTTAGTGTTGACGAGTGAATAAATGGTACATATCATTTTTAGGCATCTTTTCAGGTCAAATACATTATTCCTTGTACAAAATTTTTCAAGAAAATAAACTAATATTAAATTTTTTTTATTAAATATTAAACCACGTCGGGCGATTTGTGAGGTGTCAATGAATTTGAGTTGTAAAATAAATCTAATAACTAGAGATGAGACTGTTCATGGGTATTGGTAATCAAATTAAAACTAAGCACAATTGAAGGGTTGCTTTGCAAGGTTCCATCGAATTTATGTTGTACTCGAAAATCTTCATATTTCTTAATATTCTAATCATTCATGCTATTTAGCTACCAAATTCAGCACGAATGATAGCTTTAATCAAAGTCAAAATTCAAACAGTTTTTCAAATTGGTAAAAAGATTCGGATATGTCTTATATATTCTTCGCATTGATTCATATTTCCAATTCCAGAAGCAGTTCCATTCGGAAGGGGTGAGTGATAACATACTTTTAAAACATGAACTATAAAGTACATTGCTTTGCATATCATTGTACTTTTTTTGATAAAAGCCTATTCGCCATAAACAATGCAATGTACAAGCTGCCTCTGATATCGATATGCAAGAAGCTAATATTTTTAAGAGAACTGGGACCGGCTTTGTCTAACTAATTTATTACACCCTGGGATTACAGTTGGGACGCCAATACAGTTAAGGTCGTAACTCTTAGAATGCTAATCGCGTCATCTCATATGGCTATTTTGAATATGTGGGATGTAGAAAAATATCTGGAACTTGAACAAGTCTTAGCGCACGGTAAGAATTAGTTGTCGCCATTTTCGTCGCATGAGATTAGCAAAATATATTATTGAAAGTATTCCATTATTATTTGTTTTCTTGCAGAACCTCGCCAAACTCGCGTGGGAAATTTTTTTCGTCGTCTGCGGCAGAGGATATCTGGTATCCCTAGAACGACAGACCACATTGATCACGGTATGCTTGACTCATCCAGTGCAGAAGAAGGTGTCGTTGTGGAAGATAATGAGAGAAACGTTCCAGGTCAAAGTGTCGTTGCGGAAGATAGTGAAACAATCTTTCCAGGTCTGACTAAATGTATTACTACCCTATCACAACAAAACCGATAATGTTATAAAGCAGTTGAATTTAGGATAGTGTTTTCAGCGTCTTCAAATTACTTCTAACCTTGCATCTAAAACAGTGCTCTTCAACCTTTTCACCGTGTTATATACCTTTTACAATTCAACTTTATATACCTTACAAACACCAATGTGTATTTAAATCTTGAATAACGTTAAAATCTAAGCACACTTTATGAAAAAACGAAACCTGACGATACTGCAATATCATCATGCTATCTGAGATACTATCCGCAAGTTGTAAACGGCGTAAATTTGACTGACAACCCGAGCTTCAACAGGAATAATGTTCAACTTAAATCATGCGATGTGTATGGCAGCCGAAATCATCAACCCAGACACGTGCCTGCCTTATCTATATAATTTGTAACATAACAATGTGCCCAAGTCGATAATTTGCGGTAAAGATATTTCATAATTCATGTGCGCCGCGTTTGCATTGTTGTCTCTAATTGAATATTTTATAATTTATTATGTTAGTGTTTAGAATCCCTGACTTAGGCTGTGCATCCTTCGTATATCGTTTATCAGTTGTATACTCTACTACTTATGGTCCGCACCGTAAACCCGGTTGAAAAACACTGATCTAAAACACTTAAAATTAAAGTGTTTGCTAATGGAAACTTACAATCTGATGCAGTGCTTGGTTGAACATATAGAATCAAATGAAATTGAAGCTAAACTACAAGATAAATATAGCGATTTATTTCACGATAGAAACTCCACGAAGAAGCGGACAGAGTGACAACCGCGTCTATAACGATGAAGATGGAGAAACCAAAGTTAAAGAGGTCGCAGCAGGATCAAGCAGTCAAGCTGACGATCGTATCGTGACTGATGAACGTGGACAAACAACAGTTAAATATGGCGACGAAGGAGAGAGAATGGAGATTGATTATGTCGATGACGGTAAGTTTTAGCTTTCATCATCTTTCATATATTATCTGATGCACAGCTTGTATATATAAGACATCCAAACTCAGATATTTGCATAACAGTACAGGTATTTTGAATCCTGCCAGTCGTAAAGATCGGTGGACATGTTTTTTACTAGTTTTTATCAGTCATCGCGTCCACGTACAAGTTAATCACTTACATGTAATGAAACTACAAAACCAATAAACCTAAAAGCTTCGAATTGAGGCATATCCGCTTTGTATAACATCAGTTATTATTATTTTTGTTTACAGAAGATCGTCCATTCATGACCCCGGGTGAGTGACATCAATACTTTTCTTGTTTCAATAATCCGAGATCGACAAAAGCCGCTAAAATGCTCATGACCGATTTCAGGCGATAATAAACTTGATCCATTCATGTCGCATACACAAATGGAAATATCAAAAATTCGCCTTCATATCTTTTTCGCATTTATACAGACACCGATAAATAATTGTCACGTAAACAGATGGGCAGTAACTTGGCCTTGCCGTTGAAAATATCGATAAAAAACCTGCTAAAAGTAATATAGGTCATCTTGTTACATTATACTTTTTAATCATTATACAAATGTTAGCCTATCTATTGATTTTTATTCACGGTTCATATGGAGTTTTGAGCCCCAGTGTAACCAATTCCATTATACACATCACACAGAAAAGTTATTGTGCACCCCTGCGTTAGACTTATAAATGTTATATAAGTGTGTTCCTACCTCGTTATCAATTTCCTTCAAACAAAAAAATTTTGAAATGCATTCAGGTGAAGAAGAAAATGAGGATACTTCTGATGACAACCGTCAGAGGCCTCGAGGTAAGAAATGTAAATTTTATAATTTTTTCGAAATTCAAATTAATCTTTTAGGTGCGATCTGAACGCTCTTTCAAATAAACATTTAAATTTCATAGAAAGATTATTGAATAAATAAAAATTGATTACTTATTGCTTTAGAGTTTAGAAAAACAAGGACTTGTAGATTTCAAATTTGTTTAATTGTATCCACTAAACCAATTATGTAGTTACCAACCCAAGTTATCACAATTTTTCTCTGTGTGCTATTGTAGAGACCGAGCGTGGAGGACCACAGGTTGAAGAACCACAGGGCGACGAGCAAGAAAATAAAGAGGAAGATGAAGGTACTGTGGTCACTGTAGTTCGAGATGACGACGACGAACATCAAAGAAAGGCGTTCAAGTCCAGGGAAGAGGAAAAAAAGAAGTAATCAACGATTGAATGAATTTTCAATTACACATCATCTTATTGAAATTTTTAGTTATCAAATATACGTGTTTAAACTAGCAATGATAGAATGAATTTTAAATAACATATTGTTGTACATAATTTTCGATTTTGAATATACGCGTTGATATGATTGAATGAATTATATATCATCTTATTAAAATTTTGGGTTATTGGATATACGCTTCAAACTAGCAATATATAATCATCCTATAATAATAAATTTGTATAATTTATTAAATTGATATGTTCAGGTTAACCCAGGTAAACAATAAAGGTGGAATTACAAAGATAGAAAGCCAAGAGTCAGCTTTTGTAAATTGTGGTTGAGTTTATAAGACGCGCTTTCAGTAACGGCAGTGGGTGTTATCGAATATATGAAGTTTATCATGGGTCGAACAATTCATCAGCTCGCATAGAAAAGTTAAAACATATTTAAAGGTTTTGTACACGGTTTTAAAAAAATACCTGGCACCAAAACCGACAGATTCATTGAACAATAATGTTTAGAAACTAAGTCATCTTTAAGCAAAACAAAAACAGTCAAAAAAAAAGGGTTTGGTGAAAAAAACAATGAACTCAAATATGGAGATACAAAGGCCGAGCCGAGATATTTTATTCCTCAGTTTTCCGAAACCTCATTTTGAACAAAGCTAAAGTAAGCTGAACATAGCTGTCTAAAACAGATTCAATAGACAAAAACATATAAACCTTGTGAGATATATTTAATTGAATACTTGACCGTATTTGTTTCCTCTATCATCGACTTCCTTGCTTACATAATAAGCATAATTATCTTTTCAATAGTTTTAGTTTATTTGTGGTTTTAGTTTATTTATTCAAAAATGAAAGAGCTGGCACATTAAGCGAGCTTTATTATATCCATGAAAAATGGATTAACATCAAAATTATTCTGGTCAGAGTGGTTTGCACTGCTTAGTCGGGTAAGAAAATTGATTTTGTACTTTACCACGTTAAATTTATTTAACAGTCCTATAGCACTGAAAAGGTCGGGTCCAACGACTCCCGACAGTATGAACTCAATGTACTCAAAGTCTCGCGACAAACGAACTTTTGGTGAATGTTTACCGCGAATTTTTTCTGCATGTCCCCAGGACAAATGCAGTGTTATATCTCTCGTTGTAGTACTTCCTGTTCCACGTTGACCCCTCACCTTACAAAAAGCAACAACAAACTCATTCTGTATATCTATAATAGTATTTTATAAAATTAATATCACACAAAAATCAAAAATATGAAATTAAAATCGAAAAATTAAAACAAAACCGAATCACATGGTTGGTTTGTCATACAAATGGAGTCGCCGCGACTAGATTGGCAGTGGTTTCCAAAAGTGGATTTACCGGGACAAATTAGAAGCAGAAGAACATTCGAGGACGGGAAAGGGGAGCGCCTGCAAGGAGCTGATACCGGTACCGATAATAAGATACCGTTATAATTGAATTGTTACGTTATATACACGGGCTAGAACTATGATAATGACGTAACAACCGGCAGTATCTAGAACGCAAAAACATAAAGGGTTGAACTGTTTCACAAGTCCGGGAGGCCATACTAAATTGTTTCGAGGAGCGTAATTCGCCCGTGGGAAGCATTTTGGGAAAAACGGTTGAGTCTGTATTGACTGGCGAATGACATCGTCCAAATGGAACAGATGGGGGGAAAGGCGGAAATAATTTGGGGACCTTGTGATAATTCGCATATGGAACAACTCGTTTGTTCAAAGCTAGGTCATGCGTACTCAGTTAAACGAAGCGAGCAACCAAAATGCCAGAAGCTCATTAAAACATACGGACGTAATGTGGATTGTTAGTATCGAGGTAGCCAACTTTACCAAAATTGGGAAAAGATTGAAATTAAATTGTCTTGAAACACCATGATATCATATATAGAAGATCTTTTGCTATGTCAGTAAGAATGTTCTCTTGATGCATCTGCAAAACGGGTAAATAAGGGATCGAGCAAAAAAAATACGTATCCCTGACCAATCATAATAGCGGTATTGCTGAAATTCATATCAAATGAAAGAAAACGTATTTTAACGTATACCGTACAGGAAGTCCCAAACTTGAGAGTTTATTGCCGGGTATTAAACTTTGTTTGGAAAAATTACCGTGAATTTTGAGGCATTCGTTTGAAAAAGAAGCGATTGAGCAGAGCGGAAATGAAAAAGGATTCTGTTGAGACACTGGAGTTGATGGATAATTTATCTTGAATTTCGTCATTTGGAGTTGTTTCGTTGGGTTGATCATACATTTTTATAACACTTGAAAAACTAAAGGCTGTAATAAAACACCATGATGTTAGAAACCTGACGTCATAATACCCGTTTCCGGTCACGAGAGGGGGGCAAATACTGACAAATAAGACATTACTGATAATTTCAAAGTTGAAACCTCTAGGTATGCCCCTGAACTGAGGCATGCTTCATAATTATAAATTGTCTAGAAATGAGCAGAGGAATAGCGTGGAAAAACTTCACGACTGCGAAAACGTCATAACTGATGTCAAAATAGAATATTTAAAAAGACCAGACCCAAGTAATTTTGAAGTTTTGTTTACAGATCTTTGGTAAAACAGTTGAGAAGCCCTGCTGTACTATATTGTAAAGGAAACATATAATTGTATGAGGTTATGTATATTCGACGGCCATGCGTAACTGAAGAAAAATTAAACAATATTGAGTAATATAAAAATTCTAATTAAATGGAACTATTACATAATAACATATGATTTGGAACGAGTAATTATGACATCATTATTCATTTATGACGTCATTATTGTTTGATTCACCAGTGTTTCAATAGAAACAAATCAATGATTTGATGAAGATTTCGTCACTTTTAGAAAAAATGTAAATCGATCAAGATTTCATTGTCTTTCGTTTTTTTTATATTCGTTAAAGAGTAATAATGGGCATGCCTGGGCATTTATAATCACTGAAAAACGCAAAGGGTTTAGGTTTAGAGAACTGGGTGTTTTACGACTAAAATTTAAAAGGCTCTTGTTTTTGTAATTGTTAAAGTTCTATATTTTGCTTTTATGCCGGGGCTGGGTGTAGAACTTGATAAGTGTTCATGTGTGGCGGATTCAAGATTGGGAACACTTTGTATGACATTCATATAATAGTGGGTCAAAGCGTTGGTCGTCATTGATGAATGGAAATATTCTAAAATCCAGGAAATAAAACCTCTTTTGGTTCTTAACATCGTTTTTCAGTAATTTTTAGGACTTCAGTTTGAGAATAGGGACACTTATTATGACATTCGGATGATTGCGGCTACTAGACCAAAACCTTATTCGTAGAAAATTAGTGAACATGTTTAAAAGCCATAGACAAAACACTTCTATTTATCTTATTTAAAGTACTTTTTTCTTATTTTACAGCGTTTTTCAGAAATAACTAATACCATAATTGAAAATAGGAACTAATTGAGCCATAGCAGCCGCCTATTTCCATGTAGACTTTTATGTATTTTTCCAGCATTTTTCAGTGATTACAAAAAACCGGTTTTGGAAATGGGAACACTTTTTATGACATCCGTATTATCGTAAGTTTACAGTTTTTCTAAAAGTGACGATTCATGGTTCGATCACCAAACTCGACAAGTATCTTCTTCATTTGGATACATGTTGTCTGTTCCTTTGCTGCAACTGTAAGCATCGCCGAATTTGTCGAAGTTGGAGAGAGATCCAATAACCCTGTCGATATCAAAAAACTACGTATGAGAAGCAGTTTACCACTGTTTCTGATACATTCTTATCGATCTAATTTTTTGCACGTTTTAGCTAGATTTTTTTATTGTTTATTTACGGGTTTTGCACGGTTATGAATTGTAATATATTGTCAGTCTCCGTAAATTCGTAAAGTTATCCAGTGGTATTTAAAAAGTGGAATTCTCAACTAACTGTCGATGACCCTGTCGATATTAAAAGTTCAATCATTCGGATCAACTTGTGTCTTCTATCAGTGTTGAATCATTCTTGAGAATCTTGTTCTCATGAGCTTGTTCAGGGCTCTTCAAACTTGGGGCACTGACCCCCTATTGGGTTGCAAAAGGGCTCAACAGGTGTCTTGGTAAAATAATTTCCGACACTTACTTGTATTTAAACAAAATATTGATCAAATTTTAAAGATTTGGAACCATTACTGAAACCCATCATCACCGAAACTGAACCGAGATTCGATCTCTTGTGCGAGAATATGCAAGCTCATCTGTCTCATTGAAGGCCATGTTAATTTTATTCTAGTTTTCAAGGGTCACGACAACATTTGGCCGTGTCAAGTAAGTCACGATGAAAAAAGTTTGAAGGACACTGAACTTGAACTCTTTAAACTGGTTTTTGTCTATATAAAAATGCTCTTGCACAGAGGGAATTGCCTTTATTATATTTACCTATAAATTCCAGGGCTATGTGAGTCCGTTGCAGCCAATCTTGTCGCATACTCCGGCCTGTACACACCACACCAAACCTGAAAAACATTACACACCGGCATTAAAACCGGGCATTTTTGAATACCTGATGGTTTCGAATATTATTTTTTTTAAATCGAATATCGAGTACTTTAAAAAAAATCAATTGTATTTGACTTCTTATTGTGATGGGTCCTCCAGGCACATACATTTTTAAAAACATAGTTCATCACTCAGTCAGTATGCTGAGTTGTCACACACGATGAAAGCATAATTCCTCAATAACTCGCTAAGGACAAAAATGACTCACATGCTAGAATTACATTGTAAAAATATGACTTCAATAAAAATAAATAGGAATTCACCCTGACCTTTGGCGACCAATAAAAAAACAAGATGCAGAGGATTCAAAATTTTTGTCTGTACCGATTCCAATAATTTACTATTCGATTCGAAAAGCCCATCACTAACCATCACTTTTCCACTCGCATTACACCCTTTTTCTGTGTGAGCCTGTACTATTGATTACAATCTCGGTGGCGGATGTGTTGCAGATTGAAGATATTTAGGTAATAAGTTATTGCCCCGCCACTGACACGATATAGGTTAAGGAATTCCGCATCATATTCCCTTAGAACTAACTAACCAACCTTGGACCAGATCAGAGAAAATAAGTAGGGAAAAAAAAATAATAAAATGTGTGAATAAGAAGATTTTTAGGGTCAACTGTCAATTTCAGTTGAGTAGATCTCACCTGCGCCATACTGAGAAAGAACAATTGGTCTTGTGTGAATTCTTGTAACCCTGGCAACAGAAGATCTGCATCGTTCTGCTGTCTCCATGTTTGGTAAGCCTGTAGTGAGAAAGAGATTAATTAGCAAAGCAAAGTTGAATTTAAGGTAATAGTGACTAGCTTCAGCCTATAATGAGTGTAAGATAGTGTAGCATCCAAGCAAAATTGATGTAAGTTTATATTATAATATTACATAAAATTACGTAATATACGTCATCAACTCTCGTCACATTATTATATTAAAATACGGAATATAGGTCATGAACCCACGTCATAATACAACATAGAAATACGTAATATACATACGTCAACCCTCTCGTCATAACATTAAATGTAAATACATAATATACGTAATCAATTCACGTCATAACATTACATAGAAATACTTAAAATACCGTCATGAACCACGTCATATTATTAGATGGATATACATAATAAACGTCATCAACCCACGCCATAATATAACATACGAATACAAATCATACTCCAGAAACTTACGTCACAATATTTTATAGAAATGAATAATATACGTCTTCAACTTACGTCATAAGCTTGTCTTATTCCGCCATTATCAGCAATGTTTTCACCAAGGGTTAGTTTTCCGTTCAACTGTAAAGAAAGAGATTTCCCATTTAGTGAAAAGTATAGCACTTATTCCAGATTGTAGAAACAATTGGAGAATATATTTAAAATTCAACTGCGAGAAGGGAAAGCCGAGCCGATGAGATGGTCATACTCTCATTGTTTATTTATTATGGACACGAAGACCCAGTGCAGTGTTCTCAAACCTTCATGGTGGAGCTGGAGGAGCTCGGAGTCCCGAGAAAACCCAATGTGGAATAGTTGATTGTTTTTTGTTGTCTCAATAGAATTAACTATAAATATATGTAAAAGCAAATCTAATACTGGCAAAACAAAATGATCTTTGAAGTGTAGCAAGTTTAATGCAAGCGGCAAAAAATGAAACCCCTGGAATACAGGGCTGTTTGTGTGTGAACATACCTTATAAGTTTGAGTAATCTGTAAAGGAAGTTTTGCCTGGAAGTTGTGTTCTTTCTAGAATAGTATTTCTTAACCTGGGGTAAATTGAATTCTAGGTTCTACACTCTTAGGGGAAAATTTCGTTATTGTGATAAGAGAATTTTAAATAGGTAAACAAAAAAACGTTGTGTTATCATTGGTAAGTCGCGAGGAATCAGTATTCGCCTATTATCCTGTTTGTGTATGATTATACCCGAAAGTTTCAGGGATCCAGACTGCTTTGCACAAAAGTTGGGTTTTCTCTAAAATATGTTCTAAATTCATTCCTCGGTGAAAGTTTCAGTTTCAGGGATCTAGACTGCTTTGATCAAAAGGTATGTTCTCATTAGAACAGTAGTTCGCAAACAGTGGGTGGGCACAAGGGGGCGTAGACAATTTCTTGTGGGGGCGTGAAACTAATTAAAAGTAGAAATATTGGTTAAATTTGATCTTGTCCGCCTTATTTTAAATATTCACATTTTTTTATTTCTGATATTTACGTTTTACTCACATATTTTTAACATGTTTTTTGAATAAAGCATACTTTCGCCTTACTATTTTTTATTTGTAGGTTATTGTTAGCTACTTATTTTTAAGATGAGGCGCGAGACTTGACAACTTCTAAAAAGGGGGCGCGGCTTGAAAAGTTTGAGAACCAATTCTTTAGAATAGGTTCCAAATGATCGGGGTTTTGTTTTAGGGGGGTCGCCCTGTACGTCTAAAAATGTGCCAATCTAATATTCTACACCAGGGCTACTCAACTGGCGGACTGCGGCCCGAATCCGGACCTTTCAAGTATTTGATTCGGACCGCACCTAATTCTTTATTTTGAATCATTAGCCCCACTTTGTAAATTCCTTCTTATAAAATGACTTTTATAGTTTTAAATATATATGAAAATAACTATACCACCATAATAAACAATCTTGATTATCTAATAATCGTTAGCCGGCTGAGGAAGTGCGCGTTTAAGGATGCCGAAATATAATTTCTGGGAAGACCGGACCCAAATAATTTTGAAGTTTTGTGTGTGGACCTTGGGTAAAAATAGTTGAGTAGCCCTGCTGCCAATCTAATATTCTACATTCCTATTATCTTACATTTTGTTGGGCATCTTCCCAGTAGTAGCCCGAGTATTGTTCTTCCATGCATTTTGCTTTGCCTTCAAAGTTAGTTCTGGACGAATTGCTCCACCAGTTTTCTAAGTTTCCAATACCGTTGTACTGTGAGCCACTGTCATCAAATCCGTGCGTGATCTTAAAATAAATGAGATTTCATGCCTCACTTAGCGTTTCTCGAACTGGAATCTCAGCCCATTTAGGGAGCTAAAAGTAAAATTTGATATATTTATAAAAGACCAGAAGTTTAAAATTAACCAAAATTTAATATGAATGTTTTAATAATCTTCGAAAGCGGGGTGTTGATCGTGATAGTCTAAGATGTGCTGATTTACTCCATTTATTTCACTCTGGTGAGTTAGTGGACATGAGTTTATATCTGACATGGGCAAACTAAGGCCCGCGGGCCAAATCCGGCCCGTTGGGTAATTTAATCTGGCCCGCCTGATGCTGTCACAACCAAACTGAAACCAGATTTTATTGTTTTAGCTGAAAAATAGCTCAAGGAATTTGTTGATTCTGTGATAAAATTCAGTTTTTGCGCGAGAGTTATCGTTCTCCACTTTTGTTCTTGTAACACTGTCAATATTGTTCATAAAGTTTAACTTTTTACGTCACAATTACATGATCCGCCAGTCTAGGCGGGAAAATTTTTGGCCCCTGGTCCAAAAACCTTGCCCACCTCTGGTTTATATCGTTTGCTTTTTGCTATCAATACTACTCTACTAAAACAATCTTACCTCATGTCCGATGACCATTCCAATCCCACCGTAATTCATAGAGTTAGGTTGGCCCTCATCGTAGAAGGGAGGCTGCAGAATTCCTGCTGGAAAAACGATCTGGTTCCTTGTTGGAGCATAAAACGCGTTTACTACCGCAGGCCCTGTGATCCATCTGAATATAGAATAATGTAGTTCAGTTAGTGCATATGAATTAATATAAGGAGATAGTAGAAACTAATGATGACATATATACAATGACGTAATTTTATTCCAATCATGATGACGTGTACTTAATTAAAATGACGTCATTGATTTTTTATTTAAATAACGATGACGTCATGTACAATGTCGACTTAGTTTTTCATTCCAAAAATGATGACGATTGACGACATATATGACGTCACTGGTTTTTAAAATCTTAAAATAGAATACGCTGAAGCAATTAGGTTAGTGCATGCGATTCCAATTCAGTGAATAGTAGAAAAATAACGATGGATATATGGATTACGTGATTCCAACAATGATGACGTAATTTATAATGACGTACTTAGTTTAACATTTCAACAATGATGACAACCTATATGGCGTCATTAGTTTTTGAGAAAGATATTTAAATGCAATCTGTTGAAGCAATTTGATTAAATGCGCAGGATTCCAGATAAGTTAATAGTAGAAAACTATGAAAAAGAGGAGGGTGGTACAGGTCCTTAGTCGGAGCAAAAATTGTAAATAAACGTCATATAAAAAATATATTAACTCTTACTCTTCTCTGTCGACATCTTTGTCCAATTTCTTCATGTTTTCAACGTTTTTGAAGTAAATCATGTTTTGCATGTTCTGGAAATATTCGTCAGTGGCCACATTAGCTGCGGTGTACTCATTATCCATCTTCGGATCTTCTTTGTCCAAGATATAGTCAGGATAAGCAATTATTGGAGTAATCTGGTTGGCCTTTTTCTGTGAAAAGTAACATCAAATTTTTATGACGTAATATGCACCCCTCTCTCATTATAAATATCTACTCATATTCTAGTTAGCTGTTTTCGTTAAACAGTTATATTAGACATTGTTACGATATTTAAATTTTTAAGACGTGATATGAACACCCTCACCAAAAGAAAAATAATTCTCACCATTTATTGCGATAAATACACTAGCCCTATGGTTCTCAAACTTTCATGATTCCAATTTCAAAGACTCTCAACCCTCTTGTGGAAATACCTAGTTTGCCGATATGTGCGTGGTTCGGAGTTTGGCGTCAGAGTTTGTTCACGTCAGAGATGTATTGGTAATTATGTAATAATGTAATAATCGAATACCAGTGTACTATTATAATACTAATTACATAGTTCGGGAATATCGATACGGCGTTTTTTTTGTTTGGTATTGATATCGGCCACAAAAGTGGTGACGGCACATCTCTAATTTATCTTGGAGCCGTATCGTTTTTAAACTTACTATAGTCGGGAATCCAAATCAACTTTTCCCAAAAGTCGGATTTTTAGAATTTTAACAGTGAAACAAGAATTCAAATATTTGAAAACCATTGATCTAAACATGATAACTGTGACAGTTGAAACTGAATTGTAATTTGGGGTATTTAAACACATGTTTCTAATGATGGGTTTTAGCATATTTAACGGGTAGGTCAGTGGCTCCCTAAGTTCATTAACCCGGTGCCAAAATTAGAAGGAAAAGGTTATTCGCAGACCGCGAGAGGGGAACGCCCCCAAATGGCTGTAACGTATAATTAATTAAGCATCAACGCGTTCAAAACAGTTCTTGAGAGAAGCCCAAAATTCTAATTTCGATTTTCTGGGTAGTCGGAGGAAGTTTCAGAGTAAAAACTTAGCCGTGAGTCCGCAGTCAATATTTAAATATAATACAAAGCATAACGCTACTTACCTCTGCCTGTGTTTTTGTATCGTCGTCCATCCATTCGTTCCCGGGTAGGAAGTTGATAAAAGCAGTCCGGATGTTTTCAACCATAGTTTCAGTCTGAAAGAGAAATAAATGTAATAGCGGTTTTTATGATCGTATTGACATGAACCGCTTGTCTCGCGTAATGGGAATAAGCTAGCTGAGAACTGTACAAGACGAACAATATTCCAGTGGATCTTGAACTTTTTGAGCCGCGCCCATTTTTAGAATTTGTCAAGTCTCGCGCCCCCCCTCAAAAATAACTATTCAACAATAAGCCACAAATAACAGATATCAAGGCGAAAGTGTGTTTTGTTCAAAAAACACGTTGAAAATACGTGGATAGAATCGCAATCTCTAAAGTCTAAACAATAAAGAAATGTAAATATCCGAAATAAGGCGGGCAAGATCAAATCAACAAATAACAAATATTTCATTTTTAATTAGCCTCACTTCCCTCAAAAATCATCTACACTCCACCACTGGTCTATTCACTTCTGGATAGTGGAACTCAAAAAAAAAAAAAAATGAAAAAATAAAAGATATAGCCTTCAAGATACTTCTTTCTTCAAAATACTGAAAATTGGGAATCGATAGATCCATTAGTTTAACGGAAAATCGATTAGCACCAACTACGACAATTTTAAAAATGATTCACTGCGTGTTTAAATTCAAACTATACTCACCACTTGCTTATTTTCTTCGGCGAATTTTTCTTGCACAAATAAAGCACCAACCGGCATCGGAAATCTGCTGTTTGAATTGTCTGAACAAGTTTGCCAGCGAGCTTTTTCAGCTGATGTACCGGACACCGCGAGTCTGGGGAAATGTATAAGGTATAAATTAACAAATGTATAATACAGAGTGTCTCAAAAGTAAGTTCACACTTTTAATTTTGATTCGCTTTTCAGGTACTTATCATAGATCGTTCATTTCTTCAGCAAACATAGTTTGGATAAGTAGTAAAATTTAGGTATTGTTTGCATTTATCTTCAACCCACATACGGACGGACAAGAAGATTAACGCAAAAATAAAGTGCAAAATTGCTGTTTGGCAAGAATTAATAAATCAGTGAGGCAAACTCAGCGCCTCTTTAACAGAGAGTTTGGAATGCCTGTGTATCTGAGTCATATATTAGAAATGCATTTTAAAAATTCGACACGAAAAATAAATGAGGGCTTCATCTTGACCTTCAGGCAGACAAAATAAAAATGAGATCGTGGCGATTCGAAATTCGGAGCTGATAAGACGGCTTAATCATATGACGAATCAGAGTTTGGTATTATTCTTAAAAGGTCAATATATAATGGTTCTCGGAAAATTCGCCGCGGGAAATTTCGCATAAAATCGTCGCATAAAAAATTGCCACAGGAGAGTTTTGCTGTAATATAAAACAAGTATATATTTGTGATAAAAACAGTTATAGATTTTGGGAGTAGCTTTTTATTCAAAAATGATTCGTTATTTAAAAGCATATCCTAACCCCATTTAACCTAACTCTTGGAGCAATTTTTCATGCTATCACAATGACTTGTTTTGCAGCAAAATGCTCTTGCGGCAATTTTTCATGCGGCGAATTTTCCTATGCGGCAAAATTTCCCACGGCGAATTTTCGGACACGCTATATAATACCTGTAGGGAGCCTGTGTATCTCTGTATTCTTTCCCGAGATACGAAACTCTGCCTTTAAGGACCATCCACACCATGTAGTTCTGGATGAGCCTGCAATTTAAAAAGTATGTTATAAGTATAAGTTAATTTCGACTCCATAATCAGCATAACAGACGATAAAATAATTGGTGCTCCCGAAGTATGCGAACCAAGATGGCGGACATCGGAACGTAACATAGGTAACAGGTCAGGGTTAGACGATAATTTTTTTCCAATTTTCCTTATTTTAGTCCTATTATCAGTTCGAAGACTAGCCAAGAGCCTCCCGTAGTATTTATATCTAAAATTATGGCCTAACCCTAACCTAGTACACATATTACATTCCGATGTCCGCCATCTTGGTTCGCATACTTCGGGAGCCCCAAATAATTGATAAAAACAAATAAATAAAATTGATTAAAAAATGAGAAGAGTAAACAGACCTTAAGTAAGGTTTAAAGTAGTGGTTCGGAAAGGTGGGGCGCGTCCCACAAGGGGTTCGTTTACAATTTTTGAGGGGGAGGGAAGTTGTTTAAAAATATAAAAAAATGTTAAATTTGATCTTGACTTATTTTGAATGTTTGAATTTCGAAACTTTTTATTTATTTTCGTTCCATCCTCGCATTGTCAATCCGTAACTGTGCAAGTATTTTTACTTCATTTAATACTGTGTGAAGGCCAAAAAAATATATGGTATCGATAAATTTCCTTTGCAATTAAAAAAAAAATTGAGACTTTATGAACACTCTATATTTTTGCCAGGGTGTAGAAAGACTCTTGAATACCTTAGAATAGGTATGTTTTTTTTTTATAGCCACGGAATCCTTGCATTATATGCGTGCGTACCCACCGGCACAAAAACATAGAAGAAGGAAAAGTAGTTCACGTAGAAACAAAATCGATAGCATAGCTTACTCGTTATCGTATTTCGCAATAACCTTTGTGAAGTTGCTAAGATACTGGTCGCCATAGGATACCATGTCACGTGATCTTTCCACAGTTGTTGAAACGATCTCAAGAGCTGTGTTGAGGTATTTCTCCCAATCAAAATCGGATGCTATATCGTCGTACATGGCTGAAATACAGAAAAATACAAAATTGAAAATTTGCAAACAAAAACCAGTTCTCTCGCCATAATAAAATTTTGAAAAATGCAAAATAATAGCTTTCTAGTTAACGTTTCCATTAGCAACCTTTTATAATTAATTGATTCTTCATTTGCGGAAAAAGGCGGAACGTTGTAGTGACATAATTTTCGAATGACGTAGTCGGGTGGGGGGTCTAAAATGACATAGGCTAAAATTGTTACGTTACGCCTGCTTGAAGTACCTGTGTTAAGCAAGAAGCGTAAAAAAGCTCAAGTTCCTAATAGTTAAGCACAGTTAATTAGAGATTGTGTCGCTAACTTCGTGGTAACTACTAACCTTGAACTGTTCTTTTCTTATAAATCGCTGAGCTGTCCCGACGGTCCTCTGGTTTCATCATGATGCTTGCCAGATCCGTTTCAAGGGCGATCATCTGAAAATGCGGAAAAAGCACGATTCTTAGTATTTATTAGCATGCTCCCAACTGCATGGACTACAGTTGGGTGGACATTTACTTTTTTTGAGTGGACCAGACTTGGTTACTGGGCCGATGGCTCAAAACTCAATATGAAAAACTATGAATAAAAACACTTTACTTACAAAAGCTAGGCTAACGTGTATATAATAATAAGAAGCACAATGTAACAATCGGGGTTATAACGTTATTTTCATCGATATTTTCAACGAAAATTTATATCCATGAAAACCATAGTCGTAATTTCAGCAGACACAGGTGGGCCGGATATCGCCCGCGGGGCGTAATTTGACCAACTGCGAGGAATACAGAATTCTCAGAATAAATTTTTTTTATTTTTTGAGTGACCACCATATCCAGTATGCTACCTCGATTTCCATTTTAGAAGGAGTGTTTCCAAATTTGAGGGGGTGGTAAATAATTTACTATTAGCGATAAAACTATTTGTAACCTATAGAAATGTTTTAGATAGTTGACTGAACATTTGCACTGTTATATGCGCGACTATTCAGATATTCTAATACAATCATATTCAAGTTAGGAATTTAAGTGTGGTGTTATATCTCTAAATTATGAGTAAGGGGGGATTAAAATTTTAGGGGGGGGGGGTTTCTTCGAACCAAGATGGCGGACATCGGAACGTAACATGGGTAACATCAACAGGTTAGGGTTAGGCCATAATTTGTTTCCAATTTTACTTATTTTAGTCCTATTATCAGTTCGAAGACTAGCCAAGAGCTTCCCGTAGTATTTATACCTAAACTTATGGCCTAACCCTAACCTAGTACACATATAACATTCCGATGTCCGCCATCTTGGTTCGCATACTTCGGAAGCCCCGTTTCTTCTCTATAGGGGGTGTAGGAAAATTCCTAACCCTATTCATAATCGTTTATTTAGTTTCAGTCGCTTTGGCATTTCCGGGATTCTTTGTTTGAGCACTTACCAATTTCCTCAAACAACAAAATTCTAAAATATTATTGTAAATCGTTTGTCTGAAGAAGTCTGACTTTGGTCAGACGAAACGTTACCACACAGTAATATTCATAGCTTTACCTTCTCCAAATATTTAACCAGCGTCCCCCGTAATATGAAACGGATGTTCTAGCGATATTATTTACGGCCGAAACAATATTTATGAATGAACGCTCTGTATTAGGCTTGGAAAATATTTACATTTCAATTAATTTGTCTGTGATAATGAAAAGGGCGGGAGAGTTTTCATTTGCGGCGGATTTTATGGGTGACGGCAAACCAGAAACACTTACAATTGACTCAGACTCAGAAAAAAAAATGTTCAGCTCCGACTCAAGGGCGTAGCTAGAAATAAAATGTTCAAAAGGCGGGAATCCTGCAATTTCTGATTGACAAGAGAAACCGTAACAGCTAGGTCCGGGTCCTAACGTGCGGGTTGAATGCATTGAAGGTCTATAAAGCGAGCTATATATGATACAAAAAAAAATAAAATTTACATTTGCATTTCAAAAGAGGGTGTGGCAAACCCCTAGGTATACTGACCTGGGATCTTTTGTAGAAAGCCCCGGCAAAAAAAAAAAGCCAACGCGCAGAATTAAAAAAAATAGTAGCCTAATTATCGAGTTAAGGTGAGGGCTAGGAATGCAGATTGCAATGGAAATTTAAATTTTCAATTCATTCCTGACACTGACCCAAACTGGATGACTACTAATTTGGTATTTTAAAACTTGGAGGGTGTTGTTCACAAATCTTCTTTGCGTTTGATGCGGGGACTTGATCCAAAATTGGCCCTGACTACCGATTACGCAAGAATATATATAAACAAAAACTTAAAAACTGGCATATCGCATAGTACACCTATTTGTGTTCATGTTGGAAAATTCAACCCATATAACCCTCCCGTTGGCTTGACTTGCAGACTTGGGTAATACTTGAGCTTTTTCATGTTGCCTCCCAACAAAGCTTTGTACACGCAATCATTGCTATGTAAGACGTAACTTTAGACAGTGACGTTTTTTGCAGGGGCTTTGTACAAATAATCTCCGATATTTTTTTTCAGAGTCGAAGTCGATTGTAAACTAGACTAATTTGTCATCACCCATAAAAGACGCCGCAAATTAAAAGTTTTCCGCCTTTTTCGACATCACAGACAAATTTATTGAAATGTAAATGTTTTCCCAGACTAATACAACGTATTAATTGCGCGGAAAATCGTGGGAAAATTTATTTCGTCTGCCGTGAAAACTGAAAAGCCTTAATTATCGCAAAACTCGAACGAATACACTTTGAACGGCGCTAGCCGCAATATTTATGAATGAACTCTTTGTATTAGGATGAAAAATATTTACATTTCAATCAATTATGTTTGTTCCATCGTAAAACGACAGGAGGTCTTTTCTTTGAATTTGCGCATATTCTATTGTTGGACTTATTTATCGTTTTGCTAAATTATTTTTGTTGTTGTGAAAATCGACTTTTTCGCAGTTAATTGACCATTCGGTTTCAAATTTTCAGTGGTTAAAAATGAAAAAATGCTAATAGACTATTACTGCAAATTTTTTCTAGCAACCGATGTTTTGCCTAGCATTTTGCTGTTTTATTTCAATCCACGAAAACACTTTTGATAGTGGCGCTAAATTAGTGTGTGTACCAATATGGAGGTAACTAATTTTGTTCGCCTACTTTACACCACGTTATATAAAGGGCCTGAAATCTATGGGCTGGGGGTATATTCATTTGGCAAACACAGACAGTCCCCAAACTCGTAATAAAACTAAAATAGGGAAACCAGTATGAAAATTATGGCCTAACCCTAACCTGGCACACGTACTACGGCGATAAAATAAACCCAGAATTATTCAAAAAACCTTTCAAAAGCATCGATTTCACTAAACGTCATTAACCCTGCTAAAACGCTTAACAGTCTATTAATGAAGACTTGAATACGCTAAAATGAATTTCTGTATAATTTTTTTATCTCAGAAATTGGGAAATATTTTTGCATTTTTACAGACCGACTCTCCAGTGTGATGTGAAAAAACATTATAATTGAGAAACACACGTTGGATGGCTTCCTAAAAACGAGGTTATAAACAAGCTTTCATTTTGCTTTCAAAGTACGTGTATATTCACAATTGAAGGTACTACCTATTGCTGAGTCGTATGTGGATCGAATCGTGCGGGGCTCAAGATTTTGTAATATCAAAATTAATTTCATTTCATCACCTTTTTTACCTTCAAGTACAAAACAACAATTAAAGTAACTTTGCTAGTTTTGCGTATACATACTATACATGACGACCCAGATATGGTGTTTTAGTGGTGTTTTATGGTGTTAAATTTGATTCAAGTTCGGTATACATTGGGCGGGCAGAAAGGTGCTGGTCGCGAGATGGCGCTGAAGAGACGATAAAATTTGTAACTTTCAGCACTCGTATTTGATTGAGCTAGGGCTGTGACTGGTTGGGCAGGATGTTAAAATGCAGATCCGATATCCGTGTTCAAACCGGCCAATAAGGCTGAGATACGTCACATGGCTACCCCATAAGTGAAGCGTTGATCAGACGGCTCGTTTTTTTATTCAATCTCGCCTCATATGTTGCATTTTAATTCTCAAATTGCGTAGTTTCCAATCAACTCAGCATAAGTCTACATCAGGGGCGGGCAATTACTTTTCTAAGTGGGCCAGACACATATAATAGACTTGGTTACTGTTTTGAGGATCAAAACTCTATATGAAAAACTATAAAAAAAACAGGTTATTTAAAAAAGCTAACGTTTATATAATGATAATGAGCACATCTAACAATCGGGGTCATTATGACGTCTGTCTGTTTTTTTTTTATAGTTGTCCATATCGAGTTTTAATATTGAGTTCGGCACAGTAATCATGTCTATTATATGTATCTGACCCACTCAAGAAATGAATTGCCAACCCCTGACTCAAGGATGATATCGGTACTGGTACCTTACGTGCATTTGTTCTTTCTATCCTTTTTATTAATTCACAAACAGATTCACAGCTTTTATCTTTTTCAAATATTTGCTCGAAGTATAATAGGAATTCATTATGTCTCTTGAAGTATGACTAATTGTTATATCACAACCACGTGCTTTATGACAGCAAATATACGTAATAATTTATTTTTTCGATGAACTCTTTACCCGGGGCTCCCGAAGTATGCGAACCAAGATGGCGGACATCGGAATGTAATATGTGTACTAGGTTAGGGTTAGGCCATAATTTTAGGTATAAATACTACGGGAGGCTCTTAGCTAGTCTTCGAACTGATAATAGGACTAAAATAAGGAAAATTGGAGAAAAATTATCGTCTAACCCTAACCTGTTACCCATGTTACGTTCCGATGTCCGCCATCTTGGTTCGCATACTTCGGGAGCACCCTTTACCCTTTCTCGAACGATTTCTGTGTTACTGAACTTTCACAAAATGTTCTCAAACGACGATTTGCTAATTGCGCCCCGAAAATTAACAGAATTGTGGTAAACATAACCAAAATATGATAGAATGTTTTACATATCGTATTTGTTATAAAAGTTTTATTGTTTCTTATTTTCAATCGTATATAAATCAATAAATTTATTTTACCTTTCTATGTCGTTCACTTTCCGATACATAGTGTGTGCCTTTATTATTATGTAACAATAGAGACAGACACTACTTGCTACAACATTTATAATAAACACTATATGTGAAATAGTTAATTAATTTTAGTTATGTTTAACACAAATCTGTTTTTGCGACGCTCCTTTCGGGTACCATCGCTCAAGTGGTTCGCCGTCTCTGATTTAAAATATTTGCAGTTTCTATTTGTTAATTTCGGCATGTCAGCAATGCCAAGAAATTACCTCAACGTTTTATAATTCAGTGATAAAGTACGAACGATTATCGGAAACCAAAATGCGTAATCATCTACTGATAACACTAGATAAATATTATATCATCGATTGTCAAGGACACTGTTGGAAAACTCGTAAAATTAACAAGGATTTGATACTCGTATTGATTGTAGATGCTTCACAGCCTCGTGCGGAAAGTAAGTTTTTATTGTTATGACGCTTTTTTATGTGCCTCACACTGGGGTGTGCTACCTGCGACCCACAAAGAAAAATGGTGCGCCTTTGGAGAAGTGCGAGTGCAGTTTTAAGCACCTTGTGACGTCTGAAGCTATCGCGAAACTTTGGCAAGATTTCCAAACCATGGCCGCTATGGTCAAACCATGGCAGCTATGGTCAAACCATGGCGGCTGACTTTTCAGCTGCCACAAATCAATGGTGTAAGGCGGAGTACCACGGCAGCAAATTAAAGACCATGGCGGGTAAAATTGTGCTGCCACAAACCAAGTCATGTAGGCTGTAATGGCAGCACTTCCCCTGATGGTGATATACTTTGGGTAAGTTAAAACATTTTTGTTATGAATACAATTTTGATAGATTTGGGGTTAGGTTTCACGTTTGAGTAGATATAATTCTACATGATAAAATAAAAATCTGGTAGAAGAGTTGTTGAATATATCGGTAATAGCGCCATAAAATCATGGCAAGAACCGCCATGAAGCGGTAAGAACGTGATTTTACCAGATTTATTTTTTTAAATATTTGGGTCGCTTGAAAAAAAGTTTGAGAACCACTGACGTAACTCAACGATTGCTGTATTAAATAAACTATAAAAGGTGCTCCGGGAGTACTCGTACTAAGATGGCGCACAACCTGAACATAGTATGTGTACCAGGTTAGTGTTGTTCAGGCTGTGCGTCATCCTGGTACAAATACTTCCGGAGCGCCCAATAAAGAATAAAACGCAAATATGTGTTTAGGACGTCAGCTGATAACGACTCAGCTTAATGACTAAACTAATAAAAGGTTTCAAGAACTGAGATTTTGCGTAATTTTGTAATCATTACCAACGCTCATAAGGACATGGGGGGAATTTTTTCTTAAGTACTTTTGTGGGCGCTGCAGAAGTATGTGCACCAATATGGAGGCAACTAATTTTGTTCGCCTACTTTACATCAACTTGTGTAAAGGGACTGAAGCCGGCGCCCCCGTAGTATGTGTACCAGGTTAGGGTTAAGCCATCATTTTATTTCAATTTTCCTTATTTTAGTTCTATTACGATGTCGGGGTCTAACCAAGTGACTCCCGTAGTATTTGTACCTGAAATTATGGCCTAATCGTAACCTGGTACACATACTACGTTCCGGTGTCCGCCATCTTGTTGTACATACTACGGGAGTACTCTGAGTACCCTGGGTATATTCACTTGACTGACACAGACAGTTATCGAACCCGTAATAGAACTAAAAGAAGGAAAATTGAAATCAAATGATGGCCTAACCCTAACCTGGTAAGAATCGAAATAAAACTATGGCCTAACCCTAGCATGGTACACACGCTACGGGATTACCTTTTGTGGAATTATTCTATTCTATGCTATCTTTAAAATTTGCACAATTTCTCGGGACGAAACGATTTAGAAATATACTTATGCTTTCGTTTTTTTCTGGACAATTTAAGAATTTCTCCTATCGGGTAGTTTCGCTAATGAGGTAGTTTATAACCAAACAAAAACTACCTTTTCTGTAACTTCCCAAACAACCGTTTCATTATAAGTTGTTTGATTCTTTTCCATCCATAATTTGCCCATGAAGTCTCGCATAAATTGAGAATAGCCTGGAAGTGTGAGATTCCGTTTTTCGTCGAGGTAGTAGTCCCGGTTTGGCATTCCAAGTGCTGGTTGGTCGACCTATATACAGAGTATATAATCATTTTATACAATTTTTATTAGGCGCCGTCCTTCCGTATAAAGCTCTGTTCAAGCTGTTTTTGATATATATGTCATGGTAATTGAACTCGAAAACTTTAACCTGCAATTTCAAGAGCGTAGACAGCCAATTATATATATATATATTTTTTTTTTGGGGGTGGGGGGGGGGGGGGGGCAATTTTTTGTATAATGACGTAATAATACATGTTAATATGATATATGCATTCTTGCTGAATGAGGATCTGTACGATAATTCACTGATAGTTAGGGAGCTGCTATAAATTCGGGAATTTATTTGAAAAAAAAACAAAATCGAGGGGGAAGAGGGGCAATCTTTTAGTATAATGTTGTAATATATGTTAATATTTTATATGCATTTATTCTGATTAATGCTCTGTACAATAATTCACTGTTATGCAAGCTACATCAAATTCGGAAATTTATTTCCGGAGAAAAGTTGTTTGTTTTTTGAAGGAGAGGGGGCAGACAATTTTTGAATAATGTACAGGTTTTCACTGATAACCGATAAGACGCCTTGCTCAAATGGCAAACCACAGCTGTCAGTCTATATACCCTGAATAGATCAATTAGCTAAAATATTCCGGGTTGAAATTAGTCTTCCGGGGTCAAAGTTCATATTTAGATAATAAACTCGCTGCAAAAATTCAATCAAACTAAAAAATGTGACGACTTACACGGAAGATTACCAAATACCGTCAGTTTAACGTTTCGGGAAAAAAAATTTCCGGTTCCGGGGTCAAAGTTTACAAGAGTATAGACACTAACCTGTATTATAGTTGCACTTGAGTTTTTGTCGTCTGATCCGACCCACATCGATACGATGCCATAAGAGCCATAAATCGAAATCGATTTGGCGAGGGCTTCTTCGAGATTAAAATCGGCGGGAAGTGGATCTCCGAACAACGGAACCCCGCCCATTTCGTCCGCAATTGATAAGGCTGGTGTTCCTTTGAATGCGTCGATTTTGTCTAGAAAGAAATGAGTATATGTATATTTTCATCCAATTCAAGAATCATTGTTGTAAAATGATTGAGGAAGCTTGACTTTGGTCGGATGAAACGTTATCGTAATATATTTGTATACGTGTGAAGCGAGACTCTTGAATCACTTAGAATAGCCATTTACACTCTTACTACAGTATCCTTGCAGTATACGCATACGTTTCCACTAGCATAAAGGCATAGAGGAAGGATAAGGAGTTCTCGCGCAACCTAACTCAAAGTTATGTATATTTTTATGTGACGTTTTATAAGGATTTTTTTCCGTGTACGTTTTGATTTTTTTCCCTGATAATTTGACTCCACGCGAACAAAAAGTTTGCGAACCGCTGCACTAGGTCAAGGTTGTGCAACCTGCGGGTCGCGGGCCAACTGAGGCCCACAAGAAGAAATTGTGCGCACGCGGAGAAGTGCTAATTTTGAAAAGTATAGGGCCTGCAAAACGAGTTTTTACATAAGTTTAAACCGGTACGTGCAAAGCCCATACCTGGGTCCAATTTATTATCTATACCAGGGATGCACAACCTTTTTGCCATTGGCGGGCGCAGTGCAATTATTTGTATTCAATACGGCCTCAAGGGGGTTGATAAGCGCGGCGTAGGCGCGCGAATTTTTAGGCTTTCATCACGTCATAACCGCGTATTTGACCCATGCGACAAGTGCAGTTTCAAGTATTTTGTGGCGTCTAGAGCTGCCGCAAAACCACGGCGGGATTTCCAAACCATAGCTGCTATGACCAAACCCACGGCGACTGACTTTTTAGCTGCCACAAACCAATAGCGAGCTGCCGTGGTTGCGGCAGCAAATCGAATACCACCAATTTTGCTGCCGTAACCACGGTATGTCGGCTGTAATAGCAGTGCTGCCCCTGATGATGATAAATATTGTGTAAGTTGGAACCCTTTTTTTATGAATACAGTTTTGATGTATTTGGAGTTAGTTTTAGGTTTAAGTAGATTTAATTTTGCATGATGAACTGAAATATTGTACATGACTTTGTAAATATACCGGTAATAGCGCGATAAAACCATGGCAAGAGACGCACGGTACGTTCGTGGCAGAAGCTGCCATGAAGTGGTAAGAACTGCGCCTCCTACGCGAGGTGCAGTCTGCCCAATTATGAGGTATGTAAGACTACTTGGAAGTATAATATTCGCATTTTAAACCGATTTTTCTTTTCCAACAGCAAATACACCATCCAGGTTGTTCGCGCGTTCACCCAGTTATTTGTATCTGGCCCTCCTGTATTAAAGGTTGCATGCCCCAGCACTAGGCCATCTCGCCGCACAAGACATTTTGGCGTTGTAATCTCATTAAAACCCGTTATTATAAGATTTCTTTAATCTTATTTGTCTGTAATCAATTATTCATACCACGATAACGGCTTCAATATCGGCGTGTTTAAGTTTAATTATCCACTTATAACATCGGAAAATATTGCATGTTCCCATGGGAAAATGGGAGCACTGATTATTTTCCGATGGCACGAAATTGTGAGCATTGCGGGGCTTGTACCTCAAATTAGAAAACATTTGTCGTAACTAATTTTAAAGTTCGCAAATAGTACACCAATTTCACACAAAGTAATATATCTATTGTAGTTTTTATAAACTTTTGATTCGGAACACAAATATTAAAACTAGCTCAAAACATAAATCTCATGATTTCGAGAAAATACATATAATCAGAGAAGCGGCGCACTTGCATAACAATGCCGACTAACAGGGGTTGCGGAAAATTTTAATATATTGAAAAGGGGTCGCAAGCTGAAAGTTTGGTAAGCCTTGAAATAGATCGCAGCGCTATTACTTCTCTTCTTTAGATAATACCCGATACTATTCTGACGTACTTGAAGTAGGAGCGCATCCTGGGGGAGGGTTGTAGGAGAATACCTTCGAAACGATTCAAATTGATTTGTAAGATTCGTAATTCTGAAACTTATTAAATTCGAAACCCACACCTCTATTCATATCGGTATATCAAGTTTTCGCGTATAGTTAAGGGGGAAATAAAGTTTCGAAATTGGCAAACGGGAACAATTTATCGATAATAGATAAAAATCACTGCGTTAATAAGGTTTTTATTGTCCAGTGCAGGGGTTGTCAAACGGTGGCAATTTTTCTCAAAGCAGAAGTTCTTGAAGAAAAATGGTATTATTCAGTCCGTACCTGTATCCATGCATGATGTATAAAACGTCTTTGCTTTTTGAATTGAAGATCTATCACCGGTGCTGTCTGTTTCTAATACCCCTGTAAATGAATAAAACAGGGGTTGGAACGGTTTTTGAACCAGGTGTCAAAAATTGTGCCCACCTAGACTGGCGGGCCATGTAAGTGTGGCGTAAAAAGTCACACTTTTTGGCCGAAATTTTATTAACAATGTTACAAAAGCAAAAGTGTAAAACAATACGCCTCGTGCCAAAACTAAATTAAATCACAATCTCAACAAAGTCAATGAGTTATTTTTTAGCTAAAACATCGAAATTTGGTTTTGGTTGGAATATCAAATGGTGTGTCCGTGTTTAATGAAACAATTCGAGTTGGTCATACGACACATACCTCAATATTGACCCGGTTGAAATAAAGTCCTCAAGTATCATCTTAAACCTTTTTATTATTGTTTTCAAGCATAGGGTGTCCCAAAAAAAAATGAAACCCAAAAAATTTGGTAATCGATAACTCCCTGTATGAGGGTGCTCCCTGGTATCCGTATCAAGATGGCGCACAACCTGAACATAGTATGTGCACCAGGTTAGGGGTGTTCAGGTTGTGCGTCATCTTGGTACGAATACTTCTGGAGCGCCCCGTATAAGAACTGTTCCCCAAAATAAGCCTTCAATAAGTAAGTGATAAATATTGAAACTGCTCATTCAATTTCAGATGACTTGGAACACCAGATTTATTTTTTATACTTAGGGCACCAAAATCTTAGACTTCCAAAGGGCATGATCCGGCCCTTATAGTTCCTGGGATGAATATGGATTCTCTACGTTGAATTTGCTTTTCTTCAAAGATAGTTGAGGCTCATACAAAGCATTGGGTGCCCCCGAAGTATCAAGATGGCGCACAACCTGAAAATTAATTTGGTACACATACTATGTCCAGGTTGTGCGCCATCTTGGTGCACATACTTTGGGAGCTTCAAGAATTGTTCTGAGCTGAAAATCTGTGAAATAAACTCAACTTACTTTTTAAAGTTTCCGAAACGCTATCTCTGACATCATTAAACGTCGACACGGATGACTTGTCTTCTGGTATATTGCCGTGATCAATATTCCATTGTCCGCATGCGTACGTAAAAAAATCATCACACGGATCGGTGGTTTGGTCCATACTGTTAAGAATTCTTGAAGCTGGAAAACATGACGTCATTTAGAAATATGGCATAATAAATTCACAAAGTCACATGAGAAAAATATTCCCAAAACGGAAAAATAGGAAGGTATTTGAAAATATGGTGTCATTTGGGAATATGACATCATAAAATCATGACGTCACAGCAGAAAAATATTTCCGGAACTGAAAAATAGGACGTCATCTAAAATTATAACATCCTAAACTATGACTTTATATATGAGTAGAATTTTTGAACAGTAAATTCAAATCAGAAATTAGAAGTGGTCCAAAGTATCGGGGTGTTCATTCGCATATCCACTGCGAAGCAGGCTCGTTACAAGCAACTACACAAAATTATGATAGATTCATCACAAAATCTCTCCAAATTATGCTCTGTATAAGCAAATACTGGATATTGTTGGGGTTCTTCGATCCATTCTCTCGTAAGTAGGCTTGCACAAGCAACTACAAAAACTGAGGGGTGACTTTTTCACGTTTTCTCCCATAACTAGGCTCGACAGAAGCAAATACAGAAAACATTAAAATTCATCAAACATTCTCTCTGAACTAGGCTCTATGGAAGCAACTATCGCCTACTTACCAGCTGTCACGCATGGTTGACTTGTACACATTTCTTGTGGCGGCTCCTCTGTGAAAACAAGGAATATTTAATCAAATTTTTTTAATTGTTTCGGAGGAGAGAAAAGCCGAAAAGACGACTCAATCAAATGACAAACCACTTCCGCTGACGCAGCTAAAAATGCCGGTCAGCAAAATCAATCGGTATTTCCTCAATTGTTCCAAAGTTTTTAATTAGTGTTGTAGTTCGAAGCAGGCATTTGAGCATTGCTATATTTTGTAACAATATATTTTTGTTCACGTGTGTTTTTTTTTTGTACGTTTATTACGTTATGTTTGTTATTTGCCGCGTTAGCCGAGTTCAAACAGCACGCCCGCCATTTATTTGTTATTTTAGATTGATTCTGACGATACGGGAAACCGCGATGACAACCTTGAGACCAGCAGACGATTTAATATGTATGATGTAACAATACACGATAAATGTAGTGTGATGTGACAATAATATGTAATAAACATAATAATGACATGTACGATGATACAATAACATATATTATGTAATAATAATATGTATGATGTCACAATAATATTATGATATAATAATAAACAACACGATAACAATGCTATTTTGAAATGATTGTTTTCTGAAGTTCAAATATTTTTCATTCACAAAATAGTTTTCAAATTGTAATCAATCTTCCGTATTTACCAAGTCTGCTTTGATGAAATGAGTATAAACATTTTTTTTTAATTTTTTTTGTGCTGTAGCTTTTTATTGAAATACCTGGAGAAATTGCTTTAAATTATGATTGAAGCCCATCTTGAAGATCATCTATTTCTTTGCAGTATTCCACATTTACAAAATGTTCGAGAATTTCAATTTTGACCCTGTTATTTTCAACCCGGAATTATCAAATTGGCTTGCTGCTATTATTCATTTATTTTTTTCCGTTCTCGTTAACTTCTCTTTTAAATCGTTTAAACTTCTGTAACTTCCTATTGAAATACGTGAGAATTTTTCTTCAAATTATGATTAAATACCAGCTTAAAATCTGTCCATAATATTTTTGAAGAAACTTTTTTAAATTTCATCTTTGAACTTTCAATTTTGAACCCGGAATTGACAAATTAGTCACCGTTGCTTACTGCTATCAATCATTTATTTATTTTCCGTTGGGACTACTTGTGAAAACGAAAAACATATATTTTTTAATTATAAACTTCTGTAACATTTTATTGAAATACGGGCAATCCAGAAGCGTGTGTGCCAATAATTTTGTTCGCATATTTTACATCAAGTTGTGTAAAGGAACTGAATTCTATGGGCTAAATAAAACTAAAATGAGAAAAATCGGGATAAAATTATGGCCTAACCGTGAGCTGGTACACTCACCACGGGAAAACCGAATGATTGAATACCAGATAAAAAACTTTTTTGATACTTACATTTTGACTTTTTTGTTTTAAAACCTTCGAATTGTCGCCCATGCTCACAGCAATTATTCATTCATTCATTTTCTATTTTAACCAGTTTTCTTTTTTAATCGCTGTTATAAATATTTAATGAAATTATATTTTAATCCGCGTCTAATTTTGACGGATATTTTAAAAATATTTTGGGTAATTTAATAAAAACCACAAAATTTCATTTTGTGATCGATATTTTGCGAAAGTCGATTCGTCTTTTTGTCTTTGATGAATTGTCTTAAAGGACACACAGTGGTGGGGTTCAGGTAGTTCATGCGAACACGTTCTTGGAACGTTATGGCACCAGAGAATCCGTTTTTGGAACTTCACAGTATTATCTAACCGTTGTTAGAACATCACGATAAACACCGAACCCGTTCTTAGAACATCACGATAATCAGCGAACCTGTTCTTGGAGACGACACGGTAACAGCGAGCCGGTTCTTGTGATGTCGGAGCATCAGCGAACCCGTTTTTGAAACGCTATCAGCGAACCCGTTCTTAAATCGCTATCAGCGAACCCGTTAACGTTCATAATGACTGTTATTGAAATGCCACACCTGTACGATATTATTTAACCGTAAAAATACAAGTTTCAGTTGTCTCCAATTTAAAATTTTTTTTTTGAAACATTTTACTATTAAAACTTTTGCGCCCCTGTCCAAACAACGCTCATGACACAAGCCATGGCTGCCACACCCTAGATACGCACGCCACTCTAACACTCCTGGTTTCCATAGTGATAAGCATACATTTTTGACTGAGGGAACCCTTTGTTAGTAAGATCGATACAACGAGAACCTGCACCTAATCCCATCATAGAACACACACAACACATACAACAATAACATATAGAACACATACAAAACACACATATATCCACCTAGTTCCATTGTGCTGAAATTCACCGAAGATCCCATTGCCACTTCCATTGCTTAGTGGAAAGCAAAAGTAAAAATAGTAACGAGGTCAAGTGTCAAGTCGTATTCGGAAGTAAAAGTTCATTGAGGTCAAATGTCATACCCATTTATTATGACAGACAAAAAACAGTTAATTAAGAGTGAAATAACCTAATTTAACCATTGTGCTTGCTCGCGAAAATTTAAGCATTCACAACAAATAATTTGATAAGGCATACGCTGAATTTATTGTTTTCAAAATATGGAAAATATTTTCTCCGGAAGTATTATCGAAAAAATTTTGTATCCGAAGTCATTTGTAAAGGGATCCGTGTTTGTAGTGTCTGGGTGTGAATTTTATCCGACTTCCAGAGCCGTGTGTAAAACTTTGGTTACATCAAGGGCCCGGGAAAGAATCGTATTGTATAATAAATGAGGCGCTTTTCAAGTACCCTTTTCAATAAAACCTCATCATTTAGATTTAGAACATATTCTAGCCTAGAAAAAACATAAGTTTAGTAAAAAACGTTCTGGGTTACTGCAACTCTTGGGTAGAATCATACACAATAAAAAGTTAAAGTCTGAGGTGGTGCAATGCCCCTACTAAGGGTTACAAAATCAGCTTCAAATAATATATAAAGAAATACCTTTCCGGTCGAAGGTGAAATTTATCGCAACGACTATTCCATGAAAACAGCGTGAAAAATAAATTAAAATAGGAATACTTAATTTTTATGAAGTGATTCATAATCGCTACGCCTCTAATGGCGAGCATGAAATTTGGACCCGATATCTTTAGCCTGAGACAACAACACGCGATAACTAGGGCTGGGCATATCAAATGGAATATTCAAACGGAATCGAATAATAAATAACTTATTCGAAACTTTTCAGACAAAAATTTCAAATCGCCGCCATTTTGTGAAAACCATAATATTTTTTTTCTTGAAGCAATATTTGTAAATGCATTACACTTTCTGGTGAGTTATTGATTAAACATGTTTCTTAATGTGTGAACACACTTAGCGAACTGTTTGAGTGATGAATTCTATGTTTTCAGTAATTTATACATCTGGAAGACCATAATTATAAAAAGTCGCATATAATTGCACATCTTTCAAATATTCGAGATTCGATTCGAAATAATATATTCGATTCGGTTCTGAAATCATCAGGTATTCTAAAATGCCCAAGTCTAGCTATAACCCCCAATTTTTTATATTTGGAAAAAAGTGTTTTTTTGTTCATACCTACCTTAAAACGATTTTTGACCCCAAGACTCTTTAGAACCCACGTTATCCACGGGGTGAGGATCGAAACCCCCAAAGTTTTGAAATGTAAAATAAAAACGTTTGGTGCTCCCGAAGTATGCGAACCAGGATGGCGGACATCGGAACGTAACATGGGTAACAGGTTAGGGTTAGGCGATTATTTTTTTCCAATTTTTCTTATTTTAGTCCTATTATCTGTTCGAAGACTAGCCAAGAGCCTCCCGTAGTATTTATACCTAAAATTATGGACTAACCCTAACCTAGTACACATATTACATTCCGATGTCCGCCATCTTGGTTCGCATACTTCGGGAGCCCCAAACGTTTTCTGTATCACTCATCGCAATTTTTCGTAGCTTGGAACGCTTTTTATCCCCTCAAGACTAGCTGTTACCTTCTAACTTGGCAAATCTAAATTTCAGAACCATCCATTTTAAAAATCCTGGCTACGTCCATTCTATAACCATTACACCATTAAATTAAATAATAAAACAGGACTTACCTGTTGGCGGCGATTTTGGTGCAGATTGGCCGACGCCAACTCCTAGAAGAATTGCCAGTACAATAGTTGCAACAGTCATGATGCCTGCAATCGCTCCAAAAATGAGGGCACGTTTTTTATATTTTTGAGTCTTTATTCTGGCTACGTCAAAATCCAGAGCGTCTTTGCTTTGGTATTCCATCGCTTTTGTAGTTGGTGTGCCGCTGTTTGATAATAGTACAGTTGTTGGTAAAGTACACACGCTATTACTGTCTATAGAGTTCTGATTTTGATCGCCTTGTGGGCAATTCCCGTTCTTAAAATTTGCTAGGTCCGTCATGCTAACAATTTCAGAGTATTTAAAATCGCTTCGACCTTTTTCTTTAAACTCTTTCCGGCGATTTGACATCCTACGGAACAGGAATGCAGTTTTTTATCGTTTTTTGACGCTGAAAATTGACGAAAAAATCCCCTGTTTTTCACACAATCGCCGATCGATGTGCATTCCGAATTTGACTGTAACACGATAATAACCAGCCTAGCTATAAAACTACATGCTGTCGTGATGTCTGCTTTAATTCAATTTTGTAATCGCATTAATATTATATATGGATAAGCCTAAAAGCCCCTTTGGACGGCAAATATAAAAAAATTATAATAAATAAACAAAGAGATTAGTGTTATTATGAAATGTAAACCTACTTTAATGACCAATTAATTTTTAAAGTCTTACAAAATCGTTTTTATGTATCTGTGACCTCGTCCAAACTCTAGGCTTAGGCTAAGAGGACTCCTTATTTATTCCCACTGACCATATTTCTTACTTCGCCTTCATTTAGAACAGTGCTATGTACAACATACAACACCCACTGATTGAAAAGTATGCAATAACCCACAAGTCTTTTTATAAGACCATCCACTCGGAACAAAGATCATCACGACTACTAGTTATTTTTATACCCCGCTTCACGAGGCTATGAAAAAATACAACGCCCTTAATTATTTGAACTCATTACAAAAATGAACGCCCCCGCTCCCCTCTTTGTGACATGTAAAAACAAGCATTTGTATGTATCATAAAAAGTGATTTTCGTAGCTTGAAACGCTTTGCAGATCCCAAATACTCTTGAAAACTTACTAACTCAGAAGTAAAGGAGACTCATCTCTGAGCAAAGTTACGGGCACTCACTCAGAAGTAAAGGAAACTCATCTCGGAGCAAAGTTATGTGCACTCACTCAGAATTAAAGGAGACTCATCAGTGAGCAAAGTTACGGGCACTCACTCAGAAGTAAAGGAGACTCATCTCTGAGCAAAGTTACGGGCACCCACTCAGAAGTAAAGGAGACTCATCTCTGAGCAAAGTTACGGGCACCCACTCAGAAGTAAAGGAGACTCATCAGTGAGCAAAGTTACGGGTACTCACTCAGAAGTAAATGAGACTCATCTCTGAGCAAAGTTACGGGCACTCACTCAGAAGCAAAAGAGACTCATCTCTGAGCAAAGTTACGGGCACTCACTCAGAAGCAAAAGAGACTCATCTCTGAGCAAAGTTACGGGCACTCACTCAGAAGCAAAAGAGACTCATCTCTGAGCAAAGTTACGGGCACTCCCTCAGAAGTAAAGGAGATTCATCTGAATCTTCTCTGAGTGCGTGTAACTTTGCTTTAAGCAAATTATTTTAAAATGTTAAAAATATGAGTCGGGGATTTGAAAATACAAATTCAAAGGCACATGTCGAAGATAATAGACAATATGACTACTAATATACAGTTAATATATTACGACTCGTCTTTACAATAACATTGCATTAGTTAACCACCGAAATTTATCCGTTAATTTTTTTGAGAACTAAAGTTTTTTTTTCATAGCTAAAACATTTTCTTGACTGCTTAACTTGAACCGTTTTATTATAAACTCGGCCTGTGCTTTCTTGATAGATTTCTCCAAAAACAAATTTTTCAAACAATGCCCGAGTATAAATTAATCCTTCGTCGCGATATCAGTGCTGCCAAGTCGGCAAAAAGTCTGATCCAACTTCGAGCCGACTAAAACACCGGTATCTCATATGTTTGTGGATAGATGGGTGCTCCAGAAGTATGCCTACCAAGATGGCGGACACCGAAACGTAGTATGTGTATCAAGTTGGGGTTAGGCAATATTTTCAGGTACAAATACTACGGGATTCACTTGGCTGGTTCCCGAACTCGTAATAGAACTGAAATAATTGGAAATTATGGCTTAAACCCAATCTGGTACACATACTATGTTCCGGTGTCCGCCATCTTGGTTCACATACTTCAGGAGCACCGATAGATGGGGTAGACTTTGCGTATATATCTCGTGAGCGAGGGAAGCCGATAAGAAGGCTTAACTATATGAAGGAGCACGGCCTATTTTCCCGTTCCTCTTTTATGTCGGAGATAGACTCCAACTACCACATTTAGGAATTTGGAAATCAGGGTTTAACTCTCGCTTACAACATGCAGCCGACACTACAACCTTGCAACACACTAGTGCGGTGGCGTAAGAATTACAGGTTAGTTGGAGATCCCAAGGAGCCAGCCAACGATTTTGGCTGCATGAAACATATATAGATACGAGCATATAAGTAGGTCACAGCAGAAGCGCCGCAGCAGAGTATTGATGGGAGGGGGATTTTCCCAATGTTTGTTCAAAATTTTTAAAAACTTATCTTTCGTTGCAATACACAAAGTAAACTCCACTTTAGTTTTGACCAAAAATGTGACGTCATAAATTTTTATTTTTGTCTCGCCTCCCCCCAATATTTTAAAAATACCCTCAACGTCGTTAGATTTATGGCCTTATTCTATTTTAGAAAACTCAAAATAATCTCCATACTGATGACATTAAGCTTGACATTAGCAAGTATTGAGAAATAGGTTTTCTATGTTAGTCGTGATACGCCCATGGGAATTTGGAGACATGTTATTTAAATGCCAACACGACTGGACAACGAGTTTTCAATTCAATCTGTTTTGCGCGAGTAATCGCAATTTCTTTGCGTCGCAAAATACCTGAGTTCAATTTAATATCTATGTCAATGACGTTACAACGCCATTTTTATGCCGCAAAGACTAGAAATCCCATGTTAAGTAAAGTTGTGGCCTACGGTTTCGCCCAGTTTTTTGTATCTGGCCCTCCGGTATTAAAGGTTGCCCTCCCCGTGTTAGGGGCTTGTGCTGAGAGAAAGATGCCTTGCAACTTTACAAATAACATTTCACTATTTGAAGGCTTTACTCCAAAAGAGCAAAACTAGGTCTATACACCTGCTTGATGAGCTATTATTTGCAAAATTTTCAAATAAAATTTTTCTTATGTCAACTTTTGCGCTTTTGTATTGAAATCCGCGTAATATGTTTTTTATTGTTTAATTTTTTGACAGTAAATTTGCTCAGAAAAAGCACCGGAACAAGCAGACAAAAATTCACATAAAAATTCTGTGGTCAATTGCAAAAACTACGAGAAAAACAAAAAATTCCCTCTGCAAAGATACACACTTTCCTTTCAATAGTTTTAAATGTCTTTATCTCAGTACAACATTATCATTCATTGCTACTACAATCAAAGTTTAACTAATTTATCAATAACTCTAGCAATTTTAATATTTGGCTCACCTAAAATGTTTTTATGGTCAAGTATTGGGCCATTGCCCACTGGATGAGAACTGGTGTACTAACCATTATTCTTTGGTATTACACAACCGACTAGCATGCGATTTGAGAGTCTTACTGCACAAACACAAATATAATTCTGTAATATTATGTCTGACCAGGGTCACTCTTCTTCAGATAAGCATAATTCAACTATTTTAACTTCACAGAAATATTTGTATTAGTGTGTAGCAATACACATTGAATAGTCACCCTACTGCACACTAATACAAATGCATTTCTGCAATGTTTCGATGTGCGAGCAGAACTCTTGAATGTTTCGCAAAAAATTGCGTTTATCTAGCAAGTATGCAATTCAAGAGTCCGGCTGTACTCAAATGCATTTCTGTAAAATTTTGTCTGGCAAGGTCAGGCTTCATAAAGACAGGATAGATAGTTGGCTGGTTTCGCGGAAATAGAAAATACATTTCCGCAGTGTGCGTAAGCCTATTGAATTGCGTCATCCTTATTCTTGCTACAGCGTCTTTGCTTTATACACATGCGGATACATTAGACAGGGATTCTCAAACTTTTGATGTTATAGAGCCCGTAGAGAAGTTAACTATTATTTACGGAGCACCATATTGAATTTTGAAATGAAAATTATCTATTGGAACTTATAGATAATGTCATATTTGAATGACCGCATAGTTGCCACATTTCGGGGCTTCCGTTGTCAAATTTAGCCGTCAATACTTTTTTGAACAGTTGAACCTGAACGAAGGTTGTGTACCAGGTTAGGGTTCAGGTTATGCGACATCTTGGTGCGACTTCAGAAACACAGTATTCTATTTAAAGTTTTTCATATTACGTTTTGAGGCTCCGGCACAGTAACCAAATCTATAATCTTTCACTGTCCCACTCAGAAAAATTATTACCTCCTCCTGTACTAAAGTACACAGACGAATCCACTAACACGAGGAAATAGACTCAAGATAAGTAGTTGGTCCTGCAGAAAACCGACTCGTAGTAAAGCGGTATTTTAACATTAAAATATGTCCCCTGTCTGCACTGAACTTCACCTCGGCCTTCATAGCATTTTCCCAGGGGGCACTTGTCAACATACACTTTAAATACCAGCAACCTATACGTCGCAGTGCGTAATCCTGAGACTAAAAAAAATCAGAAATTCACTAAAATTTCGGGGTGACCATTCAGAATAAGTACGATCAAGTATAATAAGTTAATATATGGCAATTTTTAATTCGTTTTATGTTTGTACCATACGCGGAAACTGATAATATTTTCCGTGTTATTTACCTCTTACAACGAAATAGTTTACAAATAGGATTTGGTATTTTAATCCCCACAACAAACAAATCTGACGGTGCCGTTGGCTATTTTTTCCCAAAACAATAACAACTTTATACATATGTTGTTTAGGGATTAGCTTGCTGTATTGTTCTGCAATCTCAGGTAAGACCCGGGTTCGAATCCCACGCCCACCACAAGATTTGATATCGTAAAATCAGTGGTTATCAACCTTTTAGGAAGGATTTAAGCACTCATGCCCCCCCCCCCCCCCCCCCTATTTATTATTTTAGTGGTATTCGGAGTGTTATTTTGATTGGTTGATTCAAAATTCCTTTATATTCAAACAATCCATGCTCAATTGGGTAAAAACTCGGGAAATAACCTTATCAAAAAATGAAGCTAGGAAAGTGGAAAATGAAATACAATTTCCGCCTAGTATTGTGGCCCCTGTCCAACTGCTCTGTGGTCCCCTTGGGGGCCACCGGCCCCCGGTTTGGAAACTGCTGACTTACATATTAATGAAAAAAAAAGATACCAGATGCCAACTACATATTTTAGACTTACTACGTTGACAATAAAATCAACAACCCCATATCACAAGGCCGAGCTGAAAAATAACCTGTATTTCTGGTAAATTACCATTTGCATAAAAATAATAGGCGACGACTCACTATAGAATGAAATGCTATACCCTGTCTCAAGGTTTATTCGGAATAGGTTTAATTGCTTCAATATACAGGTACTTAATAATTCATATGTATTTATTTGGTCGCGGTTTCACGGGAATGCGAGTACGGAAAGGCCGACGCGAGATATTTGACGCTTATGACACAAATA